TCAAATAAATAATAATATATATTTATACTCTATATGTAAATGTATGTTACCTGTATATAAAACAAAAAGAGTTGGGGATATAACATCAAATATAAACCAATGAATAATAAATAAATAAAAAACCAACATGAGAAAATCTCACATGTCACTGTCCTCTCCCCAAAGCCTCCCCAATAGTAAAAGTTGTAGAATCAAACAACACAGAAAAACATAACTTTTCTCACAATTCAGACACCAGGAGGCGAGAGCCAATCTCAGGAGGACGAAGGCAGCCGAATGAATAACCGAGCCGAAGTGAGGTGAGTTGAACGCTGTTCGACTATTCACTTCAGGCTTGTACAGCTGATTTCAGCCAAAGTGCAGAAGAACTTCGACTCAGCCGATCCAACATCTGGATCGGCTGAGCATAAGCTCCGGCAGCTCACTCGCTGCGTTTGCCCCTATTCTCATAGGGGCCGAATGGCAGTGAGTGAATAGCCAAATGCCGCCGAAACAGGGCTGAAAGACACCAGCACAAACCTCATTGTTCTGAAGTAGACATTATTCTCAGATCAGCTCAGTCCATGGCAGGTGTACCTATCAACTACTAATTCAATGTGGAGTGAACTAATTTGCTCAATAAACTGGTAAAGAGATCCATTGGACCAGATCCAGGACCTTGTTGGGTCACTGCGTGCATGGACCATTAGGGCATTTGCTAGATAAACAGAGATGGCTTGGCTAATGGCCTTATAGATATCAGCTCAATGTACAGGCTCCGGGTGATTTTGTGCCAGATACGCATTCATGGCAGGTACATCATCCCGGCTTGGACAATTAAGACAACTGAAGACCATGAAGCCAGAAGAAGACAAAGTGCTGGCAACAAGGGGCAGTATGGACACTGAACTGCTTGAAGAGGGTGCTTTACCATCTAAGTATGCCATAATTTGTGAGGGGCAGATGAGTGTTTTAAAAAAAGTAGGCAGTGGGTTGGGTAGACAGCAGACAGACAAGCCAACAGACCCAAAGCTAAGCTGAGGTTAATCTAGGGAAAAGATAAGAATAATCAGAGAGCAAAATTAAAATGACAAGCCACATAGACCGTATTGTAGGGAATTTTATCTTTCAGCCAGCAGAGGGCCCAGCCACGCCTCTAGAAATATCATTTTTTTCCAAAAGGAGTGGAATAAAATAAATAATGAAATAAAAAGCAGGCTGGTTAGCCAGTGGACCAAACATCTCCAACAGGAAGTAAGTGGAAACCACTAGCTCCATTACCCAACTGGTTAGAGGGGATCTACCCCGGACCTCCTAACAGTCCCAGTTTCCAGGGCATACCCTACTATACTATATCCTGCACAAGGCCCTCTGCCCATCACTACTGTCGGTGGACCCTTCTACTTAAGCTTTGCATAGTTCACTGTAAGTCACTGACCTGTCACAAGCATGCAGATAAATCATTCATAAATCACCTTCACTTGCTCTATGTTTGTTCCCTGTCAATGGCTCAGATCAACGCACATGAGAAATGCACCATCAACGCACCATGAGAAATGCCATGCAACCAGGGGCGTCAAAAGGCCGGGTGACACCCTGCATGCGCAGTCATCATATTGACACCTGCCGGCGGCCATCTTAGTGATGGAGTTTGGCAGAGAGAGGAGGAGACGTTTACCTGGCGGGATGTGGTATGCCGCCGGGTCCCCTCCTCTCTCCTGACACTGTCAGGTCATTTTGGTGTCACCCCTCCAATGGTGGCACCCGGGTGCGTGTCGCACCCCCCTTGTGATACCACTGCATGCAACCATTGGTGGAGTAAGTGTAGACGTGAGTGGCAACAAAGAGACTTCCAGAGATCAGGTGCAGGTGAAAACAGTATTTAATTGGGAAAAAATGTCAAACTTTTAGAATACACATTGCTTTATCAAACTAAATGCGTATACATGAGTAAATGTGACATTCACAAAACATTCAAGGTTTGTGAATCTTCCTGGTGCATGTGTTTTAAATTACAAAGATGAATTCACATGCAGTGAATGTTTGGTGAACTTGACATTTACTGCTTTGAAAGTGTAC